GTAATTCTTTAAAATTCTGGTCATTATTTTAACAGATCTTTTATTTCGATGTACGTAGTTCTTGATTTGGTTGTTTGGCCTATTTTTTTTTGGTTGTCACATGACTGATATCGGCTAATAATCCCTAATTACTGCTTAGTTAGAAAGTTAGAGAGGTCAAATTTTAGCAAAAGAAAAAGTTAGAGAGGTGTTTGTTATTCTTTTTACCTCAATTACTGCTTCCTTTTGGGAGTACTTCAAATTGTATAACCTATTGCAATTATACTCAACTCGGATAGTAATAATAATTACAAACTCATTTGGTCTAGCCAAATTAGTAATTTGGATATACTTATGTTATACTTTGTGTGTTGATAATGTTATTCCTTTTTGCTTCTTCTGGAATGATAACTTTTTAAATGTAGGACTAATATAGAGTGTGGTGATACCGTGATGGGTTGAATTAAACCGATGCCTATAATTGGATTTAAATGTAAGTGAAAACTTATAAGAACCTAAGAACATATTATAAAATACCATAAATAATAACATATGATATGACTGTATTGAGGGATCCTATTTTATGGTAATTGCAATCTATGAGGTTTTAAAATATTTAATACAATTATTAAAACAAAAAGAAAGTAATATTCACATTAACATAAGTGTCGGTGGATGTTTCACTGTTAGGTCCCATTGTAAACCTACCTAGCGAATGGTGATGTTGACGTATCAGTATGTTCGTGATTATAGATTTACAATGTGGAACCACTTTCTTCAACTAGAAATTACAAATAGTTTTCTCAAATATTAAAACAGAATTTAGAATATTTTGAAAGATCTAGGAGGCATATAATATGGGCAATATCCCTTCTAACTAATCACATATTTAATATTTTTGGTCCTTTGTATTTGGTATGTCTGCAGATTTCTTCGTTAATTTTTGCAGCACCCAAACATTCATCGACATATTAAAATCCAGAAAACAAACAAAAAAAAAAGATTTATGATCAAATTAGAGTGTAGTTTAGTGGTGTTGCTTCACTGGCCTCGTCGTGTCCCGTAATGAGTGCAGATAACATATTGGGTAACGTAGGTCCGTAAGTGTTTGTTTTATGATTTAGTAAAAATTAGTATGCGCAAAAGTCATTTTGGTTAGTAGATCCGCTACGTGTACGAGCCAGCACCTCCAATTTCCATGTGCAACAACATGGAACCCACTTGGTCTCTCTTTTATTTTTCTCTGTCACACTCACCTCATCACTCACTTTTCTTTTTTAAATCTTTTTTTTTTTGTTCAAGTTGACCAATTATTGAAACTCAATTTTATTTTATTAATCCTGATTGTAAACATCTATCATGTGAAAATAAATTGACAAAATCTAACGAGCTGTTGAAATCTAATTGAGGGGTCTGACCGTCACAGCGGTCTACGATTTGATAATTGAAAACATTGATTTTAATGTCACCTACTAGTTTTTAATGTCTTCACCAATGCCATATTAATTAATTTCCAGTATTGAACTCTTTTTCTTATTTTGCAGTAAATTCGGATGAATGTTTGATGACAAGGATGCAAGAAATGTCTTTGGATTATCATTTTACGGTCGAACAAGAAGTTGGTTCTTCTACATACGCATTCTTCGGTTTCAACGGTAATTTTTTTTACCTTCATTGAATTTGTTTGTCTTTAACTTATTACAGTTTCGTAATATTGGGTTATAACAATTTTAGGAACTGCGGGAATATGGAGAATATCGGCACTAAGCGAGGCTGGTGGTTGGAAGGATAGAACCACCGTGGAAGATATGGATTTAGCCGTTCGAGCTAGTCTCAAGGGTTGGAAATTTTTGTACCTAGGTTCTCTAAAGGTATATTATATTTTTCATAATTTAATAATGTGTATATACATATGTGTCGATTAATGGCCTAGTAGTTAATTTAACTGATGTTAAATACTATAGGTTAAAAACGAGTTACCAAGTACATTCAAGGCGTATAGGTATCAACAGCATAGATGGTCATGTGGTCCAGCAAATCTCTTCAGGAAAATGGCACTCGAAATCATGACCAACAAGGTTTTTCTTGTTCACACTGTTTAAACTACTAAACATATCGACCTTTCTCTTGTGCCCCAAGCAAATAACCTTATTTTCTTATTGGCAGAACGTGACTTTGTGGAAGAAGGTTCATGTGATATATAGCTTCTTCATGGTTAGAAAGATAGTGGCACATATTGTTACCTTCATCTTCTATTGTGTGATCTTACCGGCTACGGTTCTTGTACCGGAAGTTTCCGTACCAAAATGGGGAGCGGTTTATATACCTTCCATCATTACTCTGCTAAACGCTGTCGGTACACCTAGGTAAGAAAAAATGTTCCAAGAGTTTCTTGGGGCTCAAGTGACGTCTCATGGTTGGTTACATGTTTTTTATTATAGGTCATTGCATCTTATGGTGTTTTGGATTTTGTTCGAGAATGTGATGTCTCTTCACAGAACAAAAGCTACTTTCATTGGTTTACTCGAAGGTGGTAGAGTTAATGAGTGGATTGTTACTGAGAAGCTAGGAGATCTTAAGGCTAAATCGGCAACCAAGACTCCAAAGAAGTTTAGTTTTAGATTCGGAGATAGGTTAAAACTTGTCCCCTTAAATTAAAAGCAAACTGAATACCCAAATTGCTTGTCGTTTTTTTTTCATTCTAATATTGTTTATTGGTGTTTTGGCAGGATTCATGTGTTGGAACTCGGCGTAGGAATGTATCTGTTCTTTGTGGGATTATATGATTTGTTTTTCGGAAAGAATCATTACTATCTATACCTTTTTGCGCAAGCAATCGCGTTCTTCATCGCTGGGTTTGGGCAAATTGGGACGTTTGTGCCTAATTCTTGAAAGGAAAATTGGGTTGTTATGAGAATAAGAGGATAATTTACTTTTTTTTGGCTTCTCTTTTTAAAGTTTGTTTTAGTGTGAATAGAATTGATGGTGGCGTGTGTAGTATTGAAGAAATGAATACTTTTATAGTAATGATTTTGAATATTGCTCAAAGGCAATAGATTATTGACTTATCACAAGACAAATTTTTTTTTGATTGACATTTTATTTGTAGCGAACTCATCACATTGTATAAATATGGACGTACACGATAGCTGCACAACCAATAGTATACTTATCATATTTGTGTGAAATCATTTGAGTCAAACTACATTATTTGTTTTTTTTTTAACACATACTTATTAAAAATTTAAAATGGCGCCAGACCCAAATTCAGCATAAGAGAGGATCCAAATACACAAAAAGATGATAGAGAGTGCTTTGCTAAAGAGTTAGCATCCGATCATCCACCGAGCAAATTATTTTTAACATTAATTAATTATACATTATTAATTATGAGAAATAATACATAAATGATATTATAGCAGAAATTCTACTTATTTTATGCGGATTTACGTCTGACTACATCATCCTGAGTCGTCTTGCGCCATGATAAAGATCTCTTGTAAGTCTTTTCTCCAATCTACATATTTTTTTTTTTACATAATTAGTCATTTATCTTCTCCGGAAATTTGAACCCTCTTGGTATAGAAACTGCATAGTCTGAAATTCGAACACCAGACCTGATGTAGAAGCCTTTAAACCTTAATCACTAAGCTACAGAGCTTTGATCGACCGAACAAATTGAGAGAAAGATATCTCGACAAAATCAGAGGAGAGTTGCTTGATATCTTTGATGGTATCAAAGATTTCCTTTATCGTCGTTGTTGATAACTCTGATGAGCGTTGCATTTTGTCAAAGAAACATTGAAACTTTGAAAAAATGATTGTTTTGTCTTTCTTTAACCGAAAAAACTTTTTGTGAATGGTAGCCAAAATAAAGATCAAGAATAAACAAATAAATTTTCAATAACAAAACAATTTTAATTTACATTCTTAATTATCAGAAATTATATACTGATGTAAGCATTTAGATTGGACATGCAAAAAATAAAATTGCAGGCTGTGGGGTTCGAACCCACGCGCACTTATGTGCAGAAGAACTTAAGTCTTCCCCCTTAACCACTCGGGCAAACCTGCTTGTTGATAACTTATTTGTTTTACATATTCTACTTAGTAGCATCTCAATGTAAGCCAAATTGTTATACTAGGCCCTTTCTCGGGGCTCATGAGCTATTACATTTGATCGCCCTTGGGCTACTATCTTAAAATCTCAGAATGCATGTTTTCATGAGAAAGGCCTCCAAAAGACTTAGTATTGTCATATTATGTTTTTTTTTGTCAACGTATTATCATATTATGTATATCCGTCCATATTAGCACATCTGGTTTACTTTATTTCATTCCTTTATATCACAACTACAGTGCATTCAATCAAGAAAATTAATTGTTGAAAGTTTGAATAGAATATTACTTTTGTTGATAAAAAATAAAGAATATTACTTTTGTTGATAAAAATGGGGATAGAATATTACCTTCTCGTGGTCTGCAACAAAAAAGATCACGTAAAGTAAAAACAATATTTTAAAATAATATTCTTTACATATTATGATCAAATACCATACTCCATTTACACAATTTCTCCTTTTTTTTGTTCAACTGCTTACACAATTTCTCTAGCAAAGATCGATAGAAAAAAAACACAAATGAGTAAAAGAAATTCACACATATTTTTTTTTCCAACTGAATATATTTATATATATATATTAAATTTCCAAGAAAATACAGATGATCTGACCATACAACCAAAAAATTAACATATTATATATTTTGTGTAAATATCGAAGTTTCTTAAAAAGAGAGGGACATAAGAGCAATATCACGAAACCATCAACAGAAGCACACCAACAGTTTCCTCTCTGATACTTCAAGAGAATTTTAAAAAGGTCAAAAATGGAAATCTAGAGATAGAGAGAGAGAGAAACAAGTGGCTAAGCTAAGCTCTCTTCAACAATGGCGGTTTCTTAGGGTTTGAGCTCAAATCGATCGGAAGAAGAAGTCTCTCTCTCGCACATCTAAGATCTCGAATGGAAATGCCAGGTAGAAGATCCAATTACACTCTCCTCAGCCAATTCCCCGACGATCAGGTCTCCGTCTCCGTCACCGGAGCCCCTCCTCCTCACTACGACTCCTTCTCCAGCGAGAACAGGAGCGGCGGCGGCGGCGGGAGCAACGGGAAATCCAAACCCGGATTCGATTGGGATCGGACCGGGAACATGTACGCTTCGCCTCTCGGTTTGCAGAGGCAATCGAGCGGGAGCAGTTTCGGCGAGAGCTCCTTGTCCGGCGGGGATTACTATAACATCCCCGCCGCGGCGGGTAACGAGATCGAATCTGCGGGGTTTCCTCTAGATGTCGGAGGAGTGGGAGGAGGAGATTTGAGGATTCAGATGGCGGCGGATCCGGCTGGAGGTTCGGCTTCTGGGAAGAGCTGGGCGCAGCAGACGGAGGAGAGTTATCAGTTGCAGCTTGCTTTGGCGTTGAGGCTTTCCTCTGAGGCTACTTGCGCTGACGATCCGAATTTTCTGGATCCTGTTCCGGATGAGTCCGCTTTGCGGACTTCTCCGAGTTCAGCTGAAACCGTTTCTCATCGCTTCTGGGTATATATTAGTTTAATTTCATCTTGCTTTTTCCAAAATATTTGTAACAACCTATCCAGTGGAAGCTCAGAGTCCCGCAGACCCTAACCTCTCACATATGATTTGGTTAATCTACTAGTTTAATTTAGTTACTAGTTTTATTAAATTAATTGTAAAAAACTAAAATGATGTTATGTACGCCAAGCGCACCAATAACCTACCAGTGGATGTGAAGGCGGTGCGTTGCAGCTCTGTGAACTTCCATGGGACGGGTTGTCACAATATTAGTGACAGATGGGAGATATTGTTTTAGATGCAATTGCAGAGTATGACTGTTTTTTTTTGTGTGTACTGGATCAGGTGAATGGATGCTTATCGTACTATGATAAAGTTCCTGATGGATTTTATATGATTGATGGTCTGGATCCATATATTTGGACCTTATGCATTGATCTACATGAAAGTGGCCGCATTCCTTCTATTGGATCATTGAGAGCTGTTGAGTCCGGTGTTGACTCTTCGCTTGAAGCGATCTTTGTCGATCGGCGTAGTGATCCTACCTTCAAGGAGCTTCACAATAGAGTCCACGACATTTCTTGTAGCTGCATAACCACTAAAGAGGTTGTTGATCAGTTGGCAAAACTTATCTGCAACCGTATGGGGTTTGTACTCACACTATCCTAATGATCTTTTTGAAGTAATACTTTTTATAGACTTATCATATTGTTGGTAATCTGTAAATCTCACCTTTTTTAGAGGTCCAGTTATCATGGGAGAAGATGAGTTGGTTCCCATGTGGAAGGAGTGCATTAATGGTCTAAAAGAATGCTTTAAAGTGGTGGTTCCTATAGGTAGCCTCTCTGTTGGACTCTGCAGACATCGAGCTTTACTCTTCAAAGTGAGATCCCAACTCGATGCTATCTATGGCCATGACACTTTAGACGTATCTTTTGGAATGCTCGTATAAATTATCCTGCTCATCAATTTGATTGTATAGTTATACCTGTGAAGAAACTTTCTTGAATAATATTTTTAAGATTTGTTTCGAAAGTGTTGGTATTGGTTAGAGAACTAGTGTTAGTTATTTCGTATTTTTATTTTATCCCTTTTTGTTTTTAAGTGTTGATCCCTGCGTTTGGTGCATGCAGGTGCTTGCTGACATAATTGATTTACCCTGTCGAATTGCAAAGGGGTGCAAGTATTGTGATAGAGACGATGCTGCATCGTGCCTTGTCAGGTTTGGGCTTGATAGGTACGGGTCCAAGTGATTTCTATTGTGCCTCTTTTACCTTTTTTGCTTATGCTTTTTGTTTCCGTAAGAACAGTTGTGCCCCCAAATGTTCTCATTAGGTTTGTAACGTGGAAAAACATCGTTTTGGTTTCAGGGAGTATCTGGTTGATTTAGTCGGAAAGCCAGGTCACTTGTGGGAACCCGATTCCTTGCTAAATGGTCCCTCAACTATCTCAATTTCTTCACCTTTGCGGTTCCCGCGACCCAGGCCTGTCGAACCCGCAGTCGATTATAGGTCACTAGCCAAACAATACTTCACCGACAGTCAATCTCTGAACCTTGTTTTTGATCCTGCATCAGGTATTCCCGTTTATAGAGAAAAAACATGCATAGTATGTTTACTATTTGCATGTTTCTTACATCTCATTTTGTATTTTCTTATAAGTGGACTTTCTCTTCATTTAGGGTATTTCTTGATTATGTCTTGATATCTGAAGCCCGTTACCAATCTTAAAATTATTCGATTGTATTCTTGTCTCGTTTGTTTGTAATGGGTTTTGGTTGTGGATGTGGATGTGGGTGTTCGTATTGGTGGGTGCTTTGCTTTGGAATTAAAATGCGTAGTGGAGTTTAAATTCTTGAGAGTGCTGTTAGCATATATAATTTCTGATGCCTTTATGTGAATAACTTGTCTTGTGGACTCTGATTTCTTATGTCTATTTGTTTGAATGCTTGTAGATGATATGGGATTCTCAATGTTTCATAGGGGTGGAGAGAATGACGTTTCGGCAGAAGGGGGTGGGTCTTTCCCTCCCAGTGCTAATATGCCTCCACATAACATGATGCGTGCGTCAAGCCATGTCCATGAAGCAGTGCCTATAAGTGCCCCACCAACCAATCAGCCGGTTCTGAACAGAGCAAATGGGGAACTTGGACATGATGGTGATGATATGGACATCCCATGGTGTGATCTTAATGTAAAAGAGAGGATTGGAGCAGGTATTAATTTTACCCCAAAAAAGCAGTGATTTAGTTTATGAACGAATAGTTCCTGTGTAGCCATGTAGGTGGTTTTGCTTTGGGATATGTTCGCAAAGAAAATAAGAAAAGTGCTTCCAATTTAGAGATTACTTTCTTCTCTGAGAGTTCTGGATTTATCGTAACCCGTCCACTTATACTTGAGCTAATGTTCTTTCAGGTTCCTTCGGTACTGTTCACCGTGCTGAGTGGCATGGCTCGGTAAGAACTTTTTCTCTGAATTTTGTATGACCGATTTTCTTGGCTTTTAAAGTATAGTTTTAACTTGTGTATATCATGGTGTTACAAAAAAAAAAAAAAAAAAAAAAAAAAAAAA